GACGTCCGGTGCATTCGTGTCGAGCGTTTGAAAGGTAAGCCGTTGTAACTATACTGAGACCTTAGAACTGATATCTCGAGGTGGGTGGTGCATTTACGTCGTAGATGTCTATGGGCTCCAGTAACCACTTAACACCAGGTGGGCTGTGAGCTCGTCCACCCATCTAAGCAATAAAAAAAAAAGGTCTGTGAGGTCGTTGACCGATTACGCAATAGATAAATCCACGTCTTTTCATGAAGGTTTTTATATGGGGAAACACGCTGATGCGTAAGCCGTTTGGGGCTGATCTTTTTACTTTTTACTACCTTTATATTCTCAAGTAAACGGACCACCTGATGGTAAGCAATCGCCGCTGCCCAGGGTCTTCAGCAATGTTAGAGACACGGCCAAGTCATGGTCTCAAGCTGAAGTTAGCCAGACCAGGGTAAGGCGTGTTTGGTACTAGGTACTTAAGAGAGCTTATAGTTATCCCATCATGAATGGTTCACCCCGATATGAAGTCAAAATCTCAACAGCTGTGACAGTGTGACAGCTGTCCATGGACAACTGACCATTCACCATCGGATAAATGTAATATTTACGCTTGAAAGGCAAACGTGACTAAGCGACAATGCGTGAACTTTACAGTAGACTAATTTAAAGTTGAAATACCTGAAAAAACATCTATTTTAACGAATCTAGCTGTAGGATTGAAATGATTTTAATGGACCTAGAAATATATATTTTTTGCGCATCGAATATGGTTATTGCCTATCATTTATGTATAAAGCAGTTATTGTCGCTTAGTACGTTTGTCTTTCAAGCGTCGATGCCCTTTTACATTTCAGAAAGCGCTCTATTTATATTGCATTATGTACTGCTGCATTTCAAAGCTTTCAATAAATAACATTTAATTCATATAAATAAATTAATTGTCTAAGGGCGGATTCGACCAAACTTAAATTTAAACTCGAGTAACTATACGAGGAATAACCTATTCCATGATTTTAATCTCGAGTAAATTCATAGTCGTTTTTCCACGTATACTTGCGCTAGGAATAACAATACGCGAATAGCAGAGTGAATGGTGAACAAAAATAAAATCCGGCAAATAAATGTTGTTGTTTAACGGCATAGTGTAAGAGCATACAAATCGTCAACTCGATTTTGCCGTATTTTAGTGTGAAAAAGTAGCTGTTGTGTAAGATATCCAGCTGTCAAACGTATTATTTTTATTTCTTGTTTGTTTGAGGGAATTGTCAAGTATGGTCGTGTGGTTTTATCTTTTTTCGTTTAAACGTTGCATTCAGACTATTAATAATCATTTAGTGCATTGCGTTGACTTGAAATTAAAACAGAATAAATATTTATGAAATGACAGAAATCAGATGTTGGACTGACAGACGCCATTAATTTATTCTAGGAATAGCTCCGTTATTCCGTGCGAAACGGCGGTATAGTAACAATTCCCGAATAGGCCCACTATTCTTAGAATTGTAGTTGGTAAAACGTAAAATTGATTTACTCTCGATTAACTGACGAGTTATTCTAAGAATAAGATTTACTCTTGTTTGGTCGAATCGACCCTAAATATTATGAAACACAAGCGGAACGTCATCGGTATGAAATACGTAGATTGGGGCCACGAAAACAGCAATTTTCCTGTGTTTTTTTTTTATTGCTTACATGGGTGGACGAGCTCACAGCCCACCTGGTGCTAAGCGGTTACTGGAGCCCATAGATATCTACAACGTAAATGCGCCACCCACCTCGAAATAAAAGTTCTAAGGTCTCAGTATAGTTACGAAGCTTAAAGCTCAAACCGAAAAGCATGACAGCGAAGTAGACAAAAATCTAATCAAGTTAAAAGTCCAATTAGTGGACAGAAAATAAGAAAAACTTTAAAAGTACACCGGCCAGTATTGTTACAGTAATTTTTTTTTATTGCTTAGATGGGTGGACTAGCTCACAGCCCACCTGGTGTTAAGTGGTTACTGGAGCCCATAGACATCACGCAAATGCGCCACCCACCTTGAGATATAAGTTCTAAGGTCTCAAGTATAGTTACAACGGCTGCCCCACCCTTCAAACTGAAACGCATTACTGCTTCCAGACATACAATATAAATAAACAGGTTTTTAAACTATATTAAAATATGCATTTATTCTGTGAATAAATTATGTAAGTATATACATTAACATTTTAAATAACTTTAGGTGTTAATTTAAGTTGTCACTTATTTTTGTTCATTGATCTTGTTTTTTTTTTTTATTTAGGTAAAAAGATGACTTTATATTTAAAGTACCTGCGTCCATAAATATCTCAACTTGAATATCACCTTCAAATTTCTCGACATGACAATGTAATCGAAATCTCAGTGGCATTAAAATAATGGCTAGCGCGAATTTCATAACAAAAGTCATGATTGCTTGCATGCTTCTGATAAAGTTGATAATTTGAGCAAGCATCAAGGATAAATGACGATACAATAGTCTTATAGCTTCACTCTGATAACCTGCCCAGTATCGACAGAAAAAAATTAGTTCTGTTTGCTATCCAAGCATGTTTTTTTAGTTTTTAAACTCTATATATTAATTAGTGTATCAGAAGGATCGGTCGATAAGTTTGTCGATCGATAAGGATCCAAGCCTGTTTTTTGTAGTTTTTAAACTCTGTATATTAGTGTATCAATAGGGTCAGTCGCTAAGTTTGTCGATCGATAAGTCGGTCGATTTCATAAAATAATTGATAATCGATTTTAATATCGCCATATAAAATTTTGTCATATTTCATAAATATGGGGACTACCTGCCCTATTTTTCCGGGAAAAGAAGTTCACGATTATTATTTACTAGAACGACTCTCATACTGTCTTGTACAATGTCAATGTCAATCGTGTTATTCGCATTAAATGGTCAATAGACGAAAACAAAAGTTTGCGTAGTAACTATGTAGATACTTTCTCTATAGCTGTCATTCCCATAAGTAAAAAAAGCGGTGTTTCCAATGAACTAGTTTGTCGCCTATGAAATAAAACGCTATTAGTTTTAACGCGTACCTATATACCTAGTCAGGTCATAAGTATTGTCACACAGTAAAAACTTTTCTTTTAGAATGCTGGCCACAAAAAAGTTTATCGAATTCGAATTTCGAATTGTTCATGAAAATAAAAATGTATACTTTTAGAATTTTACTAAATTTTTAAATATGGAGTGGACGCTTAAAGAAGACCGTGTTGCAGTTATTGCGTTGCATCGTTGCAGTTACGCGCCAATTCAAATTTTTAACATACTGAAAAATTTGAATACCTATATAACAGTTAAAACGAAAGACCCGGTTGTGTCATTTAATTTATTTATTTACTTCAGATTTTGCATCCATATTACACTTCATTACACTGCATTAACATTTCATTGATACTAGAATTAAATAAAAATAATATCTACAATATCGGATTATATTATTATATTATAAATTACTCTCTTTATAATCTCGACCGGGTTTTGTTGATAATCATACGCCGACAGACAAATTAGAGGTATAATACCAGTTAGACTGGTCCGGTCAATGTTAAAAAAAACATTCCGATGTAATTCTGGTAGTCTGAGTCGCCTTATGACTAAATTGAATCGTCTTGAAATTTACATAATGATTATTTTATTCTCTAACTAGCTTTTGCCCGCTACTTCGTCCGCGTGGAATATAACATCGTGTAATAAAAATCAAAATTACAATTTGCGTAATTACTGATGGTACCTCTTGTGAGTCCGCACGGTTAGGCACCACCATCCTGCCTATTTCTGCCGTGAAGCAGTAATGCGTTTTGGTGGGGCAGCCGTAGTAACTATACTGAGACCTCAGAACTTATATCTCAAGGTGGATGGCGTATTTACGTTGTAGATGTCTATAGGCTCCAGTAACCACTTAACACCAGGTGGGCTGTGAGCTCGTCCACCCATCTAAGAAATAAAAAATTAAATAAAAAGATGAACTCAGTTCCGATGGCGGGTGGTACAACGGTAATAACATCATGACAAAATCTTCTCAAACTTCTTCAGAGCTTTCCCTAACACAGCTATAAAATGGATTGTATTTCCACTATCCCACGTGGCTCGATCACCAGTAATACCAAGTAAACATATCGATATTAAAATCAAATAAGGATTTGGTATATATCTCAGATCCAAACCGAGATCATACTAATCGAGGAGGTGTTACCAAAGCCGCAAGAACAAGGTTGAACTTTAAATTGTTTTAAATAGCGTTCGTGCCACCTTTCTAACTGCAACGCGTTACTGCTTCACCGCAAAAATATGCAGGACAATACCACTGGTTTACGAATAAGGATTACGGCTGCATAATAAAAGAAATGTAAAATAAGGACCTTGAAAAGTGAGACGAAACGAATGCTAACAAAAAGCTGACTCCTCAAACCGGATTGATGAGACGTTTGGGAATGTTAGATGTTTGGGTTTTTAAGGCCCGTCGAACCGGTTTCTCGCTGGACCTTCTCAGTGGGTCAAGTTTCCGATCCGGTGGTAGATTCTGCGAAGCACTGCTCTTGCTAGGGACAGTATTAACAGCGTCCTCTGGTTAGAGCCCCGTGAGATCATCTACTCGCCCAGTTATGCTGGCATAGCCCTCTAGGTTTTTATTTTTATTGCTTAGATGGTTGGACGAGCTCACAGCCCATAGACATCTACAGCGTAAATGCCGCCCCCCACCTTGAGATATGAGTTCTAAGGTCTCAGTATAGTTACAACGGTTGCAACACCCTTCAACCCGAAACGCATTACTGCTTCACGGCAGAAATAGGCAGGGTGGTGGTCATACCCGTGCGGACTCACAAGAGGTACCAGTAAAAACCAGCTTTGGTGAGAAAAGACCCGTCGCTGCGTCAATGGCCAAACACGTAACCGGTTGCATCGGAATCAGCTGTATGCGCGTCGATCGCGTCGCCATATATACGCCGCGAAAACCCAATTCGAATTCAGTTTATACAAAGACGCGTTACGAGACGGTTGGACAATTTTGAAAAATGCATTATTTTCATAACAAAAAAATCTTGAACTGGTTTTATTTTCGATTGATACACTTACGCGACTTCGGCTAGATGAAGTGTTACATATTAGCATTTTTTGCCTTTGGTTTATTCGTTTTGTTCTTGAATCTGCCTGATGGTGAGCTTTTTTTATTTTTTTTATTTTAAGCTTCGATGGGTGAATGAGTTAATGGCCCGCCTGGCGATAAGTGGTTACCGGGGACGACAGCTAACGTAAATGCCGCAACCTGCCTTGAGACATCAGTTCTGAGTCTCAGTTCTGAAAACATTACCACTTCGCGGCAGAATTAGTTAGAGTGGTGGCACCCAAGTCGTGCGTTACAAGACGCTCTATAAGTTTAGTTCACAAAATAATATCATTATATATTTAAGGCACTGCAATATTTAAGTTTACTTTTAATATTTGGTGTCTTTTTGTTAATTGATATACGAGGTAAAGGAAACTTGTTGTTAATGTTTATGGCAGCCCATGGACATCGTGCTCATATTTCAAGGTGGGTGGCGGCACTTACGTTGTAGATGTCTATGGGTTCCGGTAACCACTTAGCACCAGGTGGGCTGTGAACTCCTCCACCCATCCAGCCATAAAAAAAAGTTATAGCAATAATAAGTTATAGCAACCAGCAATAAAAAAAGTTATAAGTGCATAGTAGTTTTGTCAGACAAGTCGCTGTCAATGTCAACAGTCCACGCGGTCCAAAACTTCCTATGTAAGACGGAATTTATTAATAAAGCCAATGATATTTAATATGTAAAAAGAAGCAGATATGTTTCAAGCGCACGTCAAGTGAAAACTCGAAAACAGGCCAATTGGACGTTTCGTCTTTAGTCGCGTCTAAACAAATAATGCAATAATAATATAACAGGTGCAATCGTTCCAATTATAGCTATCTTTTTTACTCACGCGCTTATCCCATCTTTTGTACTTTTCATTAATGCTACTTGTCAAAATGTGTGTGCACTATATCGGTACGTATGTAGATATATATGGCGCGATCAGATTTGAAGACTCAGTTACTATGAAGATAACATGTCTGTTGTATAAAAAATCATTGAATAAAGCTAAATTTTTGTTAAAATAATCGAGAAAAGTTTGTTTAATATTAATTAATTAAGGTACAATTGTTATTCAATAGCCCAATCGGCCAAATTGTCACTAATAAAACGGATATCCCCATGACTAAGAGGAAAAACGCTTTCAACGCGTGGTTTATCCTCTGACGTTGCAATTTTTTTGTCAATTATAAATTGATTCTCTTTGTTGCCATGTCGTTGACAGTGACGGAATCTGGCGACGAGCACTTCGTGTTGAATTTACAAGTTCTGTGGTCTTATTTTCTTCATTAACATGAGATATGTCTGCCTGTTAATTGTTAAGTTAATGATATGTAAACATTACCCACTAATGTGGACTTATAAGTCATTTCACTAGTAAGAATTGTGAATGTGCATACATTGTTTATAACATTTATAGATTAACAAAAATATTGAATGACTCTTTGTATTTCCGTAAGCATAGAATCGATTTTGTAGTTGCCAAAAATAAACTCTATATCTAATTGCATTACGTTGCTTTTTGTGTACAGAGAAACCATGCGGTGTCACAGCCTCTTGGAGACTAATACATCAAGACCCCTGGCTGGTTCTGCTCGAGTACCACCGTGAAGGAAGACGCACAGGTGCCAGGTGTGGAGGTACGCTGGTCGGACCCCGTCACGTCATCACTGCTGCTCACTGCGTCAGGAACGCCTTCTTCGATCGGTTAGTTCTTTATAAATACGCTTTTTATTAGCTTCAGACGTATGTATGTTTGTAACGGAATCTTTGAACATGATTTTGATCCTCTTCAAAATGTCGGATTAACTCGAAATTTTGATATACTTATTAAGGACCGATGACAATTCAATATTTAAAAATGAAATGAAAACGAAAAATTTGAAATTCAACTAAAAAATGAAAAATAAATAATAGTTTAAAAAACTAATAACGTACGCTTTTATAGAAAATCTAACTAAAAAATAGAAAATAAATTTTAATAAATTTGAATTAAAAATAGTGTAAGAAAAAATGATTTCACCGCCACACCATTTGAAACTGATTTATCTCAAAGTGTCTCATCTATCAAATTAGGATNAAACGAAAAATTTGAAATTCAACTAAAAAATGAAAAATAAATAATAGTTTAAAAAACTAATAACGTACGCTTTTATAGAAAATCTAACTAAAAAATAGAAAATAAATTTTAATAAATTTGAATTAAAAATAGTGTAAGAAAAAATGATTTCACCGCCACACCATTTGAAACTGATTTATCTCAAAGTGTCTCATCTATCAAATTAGGATAGTTGATAAACACGCATGTGAATTCGTAATATCCGACTCTAAATCAACGTGATAATTAGTTCAATTGTAATTCAATTAGAAAATTAAATAGGACAATAATTAATTATCCCTATTACTCTGTTGCTAACAACAATGTCCACAAATTCGCAGGTAAAGCAAAACTCAATTCAGATTCACGCCTATAATTATATTTCCATAATTAATTTTATTACGTAAGGAAATAAATTGCTGTAACCGGCGGCTAATTGAACAAACTCTAATTGTCATTCTGCACGAGGTGCAATGAAACAAAATCTAAAGCAGACGCTTTCTCCTTTTTGTAGTCCTTAATGTAATGGTTAAGATAGATATATATAGGCTTCGAATGGCATTACCTCTTATTTTCTCGCTTAAGGGAATCATCAATCAAGGGCATATTGTAAGCCAAAAAGGGTAGGTATAATTGAGGCCGTCAGGGCAAAAGTGGTCTAAGCTTACCATAGTTAGTATGGAGGCAATTAGGTTTGAATTTTCATGAATTTGAATTTGAGTCGGCAAAAATACAATAATGTTTAAAAAGCTATATGTTATCTATGGATAAAACTAAGGCCGGTTTTGCATCAAAACTTATTACATTTTAAATAAATTCCAATATACATATTATAAGCTTGAATATAAAAAAATGTGGGCTAGGCCACTTTTGCGCTGACGGCCTCAATTATCCTGTCTATTTCTGCCTTGAATCGGGCATGTTTTGTCCAATATACCAATAAAACTGTCATTTATGTGAGGACCGTTATCCGCCTAACAAAAGGTGGGCGAGCCCATTTACGGATCTACAAAATATATAATAATATCGATTCCGATCTATACTAAGTATAAGCAAGAAACCAGAAATAATGACCACGATCTTTTACAGGTTAACCGTACGCTTGGGGGAATACGACACGGCCTCTAAAATTGACTGCTCTGAAGGTGTTTGTTCTGACAAAGTTGTTCGTATCAATGTCACCGAGATCTTCGCGCATCCAGACTACGTTGATAAACAAAATGACATCGCTGTGTTGAAGCTAGAGAAGGATGCTCCTTATACTGGTAAGAGTCGCTCCCATCTGTTACTGGTTGTAGGAACTGAAGGACCACACGGAAATCGACCGCAATTCCGCGTATATTTGCGAAGCATTATAATATTTCGGTGCGAAAATTGGGTCACTCGTGAAAAAATATGACTTGTTCGACCTCGGATCTCAGGATGGGTCTTTGCATTCGCATCATGATATCTATCGGTTCCAGTACCCGTAAATATTAAATAGAATGTGAGATTGTTAGTTTGTTTAATGCAAAATTCAATTTGCAACACTTTGAATGTAGGACATTGCCGATTTTTTTTGAAATCCTTCGACATTGACACAAAAAACGGTTAGAGAATTAAACTATTCTATTTTTACAGATTTCATCCGTCCTGTTTGTCTTCCTACTGGAACGTTAAGTCCTAGGACATTGTTCTTGGCCTCAGGATGGGGTCAGCAAGCAAACGGCCTATATAGTCACATCAAAAAGCTGATACCATTACCGAACTGGTCGATTGAAGATTGCCAAGCAATGTACAAGCAAACAAAGTTGCCCGATAAAATAATTTGTGCTGGTGGCGAAAGAGGAATGGACACGTGCCGCGGGGACTCCGGTGGGCCATTAGTGGTCATGAAGAGGAGATCTGAGTTGTGGGGCATCACCAGCGCCGGCCACGTCCATTGCGGTTCACAAGGATATCCCGGGATTTATACGAATGTTACCATGTTCTTGGACTGGATCGGAGATGTAATAAAGATTTGAGCACTCGAAGATGCGGTAGTCGGTTTCAAGTTGCTAGTTGTCCCGGGGGACGCCGAAGACGGAATGTTATTTCGTTGAAGATATTAACTAAAGAACTTAATCAAGGACATGAGAAGAAAGGGTCGCAATCCATGATATTTAATACGTTACTCATAATGTAACATGATGTAATAAATGTATTGAAATTATCAAATTTGTTTTATGTTTAATCGACTTCAAAAACTTTTGCTACCCAAATATTTACTCCCATAATAATATATTTGTAACACAATTTTTTCGAAATTTCAAATTCCATCACGAAATTCCATGAAAATTGCTTCAGTAGTTTAGTATTTTGAAGTGAACGTAATTTGTTTTTCTTATTTATCATTCATCTGCCCTTCTCCCAGTCACCTGGGGTCGAGGCAACATGTTTTCTCCTTCCATACTCTTCTATCATATACCATTTCTTTGTTTACTTCCCCTCTTACACATATCGTCTTTCATGCAATCCATCCATTTCTTCTTAGGTCTACCGCTTCCTCTAAAGCCTTCCATTCAACTAAATTTTCTTATTATATACTATAATGATACTCTATTATCATGTTTTTAAATATGTAATCAGGATTTAGGTTAAATTATTTTCGAAATTTAGGCGTTTTAAATAAAGAGTATAATTATTTGAATTACTAAGAAAATGGGTTTGTACGTATACTTTATTTAAATCTTTATAATAATAAAATGCAAATCATTAAATCAAAAACAATATTCAGAAAGATCTTCATGATCGGCTGGAAAGATTATATCATTACATAAAAAATAATAAGAGGGAGTTATCGCAAGCATTCATATCTCAATCGAAAATGTAACAATCTAAGTTTTAAAAACAGTCAACTCAGTAGTATTGCCTTCGCAACGCTAGAGACAGGAATAGATGGAGAAAGATCGTGTGTGAAAAGGGTGGTCACGACCCTCAGCAGTGAGGAATACCACGAAGGAGAAGTCTTGCCTTCGATAGCAGGTTAAGATAAGAAANGAGGGAGTTATCGCAAGCATTCATATCTCAATCGAAAATGTAACAATCTAAGTTTTAAAAACAGTCAACTCAGTAGTATTGCCTTCGCAACGCTAGAGACAGGAATAGATGGAGAAAGATCGTGTGTGAAAAGGGTGGTCACGACCCTCAGCAGTGAGGAATACCACGAAGGAGAAGTCTTGCCTTCGATAGCAGGTTAAGATAAGAAAACGAACGTTAATATTGAAAAATAAAATTTAGAAAAACATTAAGGCGTGACGAAACTAAGGTATATAAAAAACGGCGCGCGCGCAACTTGATCCACGCGAATGAAGTGAAACTTCTTTTTCGATGTATAGTATTGTGGTTTTCTTCATTTTTCATCCTTAGATTGCTCTTGTAGTATAGAATGTTGTGTATAAGAGATGCTACATCTTCAACATTTGTATTATATACAGAAAAAGAAATAAATATATATATTTAAATACTTCATTAAAATATTGGACGCTACTCGTTGCAAACGCTCGCGCTGGCCTGTAACAGGTATACTACGTTCGAGTGCCACGCATACACTCTCGCTCTGTCTTTTTTATTTATTTAGATGGGTGATCGAGCTCACAGCCCACTTGGTGTGAAGTGGGTACCGGAGCCCATAGACATCTACAACGTAAATGCGACACCCACCTTGAGATATAAGTTCTAAGGTCTCAAGTATAGTCACAACGGCCGCCCCACCCTTCAAACCGAAACGCATAACTGTTTCACGGCTGAAATAGGCAGGGCGGTGGTAGCTACCCGTACGGACTTACAAGAGGACCTACCACCAGTAATTATGCAAATTATAATTTTGCGGGTTTTAATTTTTATTACATGATTTTATTCCTTCACCGTGGAAGTCAATCGTGAACGTTTGTTAAGTACGTATTGCATTAGTAAAATTTGTAACTGCCTGCAGGATCGGAACACCGGTGCATCGCTAGATACGAATGCACCGGACGTCTTATCCTTTAGGCCACGGTTTCTAAATAATAGGTCATCTCTTTCTTATGATCATATAATAGCCAGAGAGAACCTATTTACTTTGTGGCGAGTCAAATCCGTTGTGTCTCATTACCACTAACCCCAAGCCGACCATGACCTGACCTAACTGACCCACATTGAGAAAAAAATTATTAAACTTCTGAGTAGACGGGATTTTAGTGATTCAAACAATGACGTCATAGTGCATGATCGCGGAGAAATTAGTCAAAGCACTGACTCATCGAAGAAGCATGTTCTCAGAAAAGTAAATGACCCACCACATATTCGTTTTGCTTGGTATGATTTTATGTATATTTTTTCTTCAATTAGCACCGGTCTTAGGAGTCGAACTTTTATGGCCAAATGTTTTATTTGCTATCTTTACATTAATACGTGAAGCAAAAACTTTGTACGCCTTTTTACGAAAATTGCGCGGACGGAGGAGTATGAAATTTCCCACACTTATAGAGAATATAGAGAAGGAGTGCAGAGTGCTAATTTTTTTTTTTTTAATTATGCCTTAATTATACATTAAACCAATAAAAAAACGTTACACACACTACCATGTATTTGACACAACACACATGTACTTTTTGTTTATTGTCAAACTTTTGTTATTGCTTAAAGTCTGTGGTCAAATTGAGAATAGGTTAATATTGTTTGTCTTTAATATTATTTGTCTATAGTGTAGTTTTGGCGAAATTTGTGATTATAGTTTTTGACAACTTATAATTTAAATTAATTATAGTCAATTAATTATAGTCGAATTTCGATTACTGCGGGACCACTGGTACAAACTAAAATTCGGTGGGACTGTGCTCAAGTACTAATATTTTCAAATGAAATCAGAGCCCAACACACGATCACGAGTTACTTTGAAATATCAGGAATAGCATTGTGTAAATCAAACCTGCAACAATGATTTGCGTGATTATTTGTGCCAGGACGTCTTGTGAGTCCGCGCGGGCAGGTACCACCACCCTGCCTATTTCTGCCGTGAAGCAGTAATGACTTTACAGCCGTTGTACTGTAAAACTCGAATTTAGAACTCATGTCTCAAGGTGCGTGACGTTTACGTTTGTTGATGCCCATGGACTTCGGTAATCATTTTACAACAGACGGGCTGTGAGCTCGATCACACAACCAAACGATAAAAAAAATATGTTGAAAAATCTGTTATACAAGCAAGCTAACAAAAGCATACTAAAAATGAGTTTATCATCCAGTAGAGTAAATTAACAGCCCACTGAGTTTCTCGCCGGATCTACTCAGTGGGTCGCGACTCATGTTGAGCTCCGTGAGCTCACCTACCAGTCCAGACTTAGTTAGAATAGCCTCTTAGGCTACCAGCGAATTAAATAGGTAGGGGGGAAAAAATTTTTTTTTTTTACTGGACTATTCTTTCTATAATAGACAGACATATTATTATTGTACAAACAGAGTTTTACTATGAACGAATTTAATGCTTATGAGTGCACTTAGTACCATCTACTAGCAAACCTGATCCATATTAATTTTTGTGATAATATAACCAATGTTAGTATGTAAAGAATTATAGTACAGGTAGCCTTCCTATAACATGGTAGATACGTTCCAGAAAAATCACCTGCTGGGCGAAGCCATGGTATATGAGACTAGACAGTACAAAAAGGAGAGTAATTTTTCTGAATGAAACATCTCAATTATCATCATTCTCGATATAGCTCGCAGAGTTAGTAAGCTGAAGTGGCATAGGGCTGGTTACATATGTCGCAGAACCGATAACCGTTGGGGTAGACGTGTTCTGGAGTGGAGACCGCGAACCGGCAAATGTAGTGTAGGACGCTCTTCTGCTAGATGGAGCGACGACCTGGGCAAGGCAGCTGGCAGTAACTGGATGCGTAGAACCGAAGATCGGGTTCAGTGGCGAGCTTTGGGGGAGGCCTATGTCCTGCCGCAGGCTGATGATGATGATCATCATCATTATCCTGTGCTTCTCCCAGTCATCTGGGGTTGGCGTAACTTGTTTTCTTCTTCCATACATCTCTGTCATATGCCTGTGACGGGTAGTCATCATACAACGCAAGATAATTGACAGATGCCTGAATCTCGCTTACAACATTTTCAAGATAAGCTTGCATATATACAAGTTCCGAACAACAGCATTCGGACCGTCGGTCTACCGAGCAATATCACCCGCTCGGTTGAAGATCTTTCCTCCGTCGTTAAGCATCCCACATGCCATTTCTTCCCTCACTTTCCTCTTACACATATCGTCTTTCACGCAATCCATCCATTTCTTCTTAGGTTTACCTCTTCCTCTATAGCTTACCACATACATAGTTAAAACTCTGTTACCAACCTCATTATCATTTCGTCTCATCACATATCTCTCTCATATCTATACCATCGTCTCATATCTATACCATCCGACACGCGCACTTCTCAACTTATCTGTCACAGGTGCCACCTTCAAACACCTCAACTATGTTTGTACTTTGTACGCTATTTTTTTATTTAAAAAAAAAAACTCTTTATTTTGTTATAGAAGCATCGTGTTTTAAGGGGATTTTTGGGGAATTTTTCTTTTCATGTTAGTGTTGAACCGTGTTCTTAAATATCGTGTTATATGTGGGCTACCTGTACTTATAATAGGTATATAAAAGATGTTTAAATAAATGGCACAGGATAAATTATTTCTCACTCACTGTTACCATGGAACCAGCGCGATTGCGTCAGGGACGCTTCAATTATATTGAAATTATTATTAAATTATAATTATCATCGCACTCCATTAATTGTTTAATTGCTTTGAACTCGGCTATGTGGTAACACGTTGCCATTTAAATATCCTTTATCTCGGGCTTCTGTAATCAAACGAATATTATGCATTCGATATTTTGTTTTATCGTCGAAAGCACCGTTTAATTAATTCATATAAAATTAAAGCTATAAGTAATTCTCTTTTTAATATTTCTTTCTAAAGTTATATGTAGGTAATCTATATATTAATACGTGAAGCAAAAACTTTGTATCCCTTTTTACGAAAATTGCGCGGACGGAGGAGTATGAAATTTTCCACACTTATAGAGAATATAGAGAAGAAGTGCACAATGCTAATATTTT